GAAGCATCGGGTTCTCGCTCTGTTCCGAGCCTCGATGAACGAGGGAGAACTGCCTAGGCAATGGAGACATGCGAAGATCATCCCGCTGAAGAAACCGAACAAGAACGACTACACCATTGCGAAGGCCTGGCGACCGATCTCGCTGTTGTCGACGCTGGGGAAAGTGCTGGAATCGGTGATAGCCGAGAGGATATCGCACGCTGTCGAAACATACGGGCTCCTGCCCACGAGTCACTTCGGGGCTCGGAAGCAGCGATCGGCAGAGCAGGCGCTGGTCCTGCTTCAGGACTACATCTACAGAGCATGGAGGAGGAGGAAAATCCTCAGTCTGGTCAGTTTCGACGTCAAAGGCGCGTACAACGGAGTGTATAAAGAAAGACTACTTCAGAGACTCAGGGCGAGGGGAATCCCGGAAAAGCTGGTAAAGTGGGTGGATGCGTTCTGTTCGCAACGGACTGCAAGCATTCAGGTCAACGGCCAGGACTCGGAGGTTCGCTCTCTGCCCCAAGCGGGCTTACCTCAGGGTTCGCCGCTGTCCCCTGTTCTGTTTCTGTTCTTCAACGCCGACTTGGTCCAGCACCAAATCAACGAAAATGGAGGTGCACTAGCATTCGTAGACGACTATACGGCATGGGTCACCGGACCGTCACGAGAGGCGAACCGACAGGGGGTCCAGGCCATCATTGACCGAGCCCTCGACTGGGAACGACGAAGCGGAGCGACCTTCGAGACAGACAAGACAGCCATTATACACTTTACACGGAACTGGCGCCAGCCGGAGGACTGGTCCCCTTTCAGTATCAAGGGGGACATCGTCCGGCCCAAAGACCAGGTAAAGATTCTAGGCGTGATCATGGACACCAAGCTCCGCTTCAAGCAACACGTGGCAGAAGCGGCATCGAAGGGCCTCGAAGCCGTGCTGGAGCTCAGACGACTCAAGGGCTTGTCACCGTCAACGGCGAGACAGCTCTTCGTGGCGGCGGTGGCACCCACGATGGACTACGCATCGACCGTCTGGAAACACACGTGTAACGCAGCCCAGATGAAGGTCATCAACAGGGTGCAGAGGATCGGGGCTCAAGCAGTTGTGGGAACCTTCAACTCGGTGGCTACAGCGGTTGCCGAAGCAGAAGCAAGCATACAGTCAGCCCAGGAACGATTCGAAAGGAAAGCGATCAAATTCTGGGTGCGTCTCCGGACATTACCGAACAA